TAAGTTACTATTCCTGCCTCCAGCTCTTCAGGAGAATTATGATTGGGGACTGTGGACATGGTCCCTATGTAAAAAGCTCACAGATTATGAAATCTGTTCCCAGAAGACCTGACTTGTTGGGGTAGGATTGAGAAGTGCATGGTCCCAGGAACAATAACCTCTGGGAAAATCTGCTCCCACCATCTCTGGCACACTAGCAGAGTCAGTCATTCTGCTGTTGTCACTCTCTGCAGCTCATGTCTTTGCTCTGGGATTCAGGCATGGTGTTTTTACATTGTTTGAAAAATAGCACAGCCCAGCTGTGAAGAGCAGAGATGCCAAGGCTGAGAAAAGAGAAAATGGCATGTAGGGACCTAGGAAGCCTATTCATACTCTGTATTCAAAAAAGGGCTTCTGAAAGACCAGTAGGCCAGCTCTGATTGGATAATCCTGTTAGTGGCCCTCAGCCACTGAGACAATGAAATATTGAGAATCTTCCAAGAGTACTTGCCACAGACCTCCACCTACAGCATATTCATCTTCAGAGAGTTCATTTTCATGTTTTTCAACTTTTCTTTAATTATCACTAAGTCCAACACATAAAATTACACACATGTGGAATACTAGAAAATACAATTATATAACCATAATCACAATCAAACTTTAGAATATGTCCATGACTCATCTCATTTGCATTTACTCTTTCACCACTCCAGCTCTAGACAATTTTTAATGTCTTTCCTGTGTCTATAGATGAACCTTTATAAAAATATCTTAAGTGTAAAAATAAATTATGTAGTTTCTTTAGGTCTAGTTTCTTTCACATAGCTGGGCACTGTTGATGATCTTTCCTATTAGAGCAGATATCATTACTATATCTGCTTTGATTGGGGAATAGTATTCTATGGCACAGATACACCACATACATGTTACCTCCTGCTAGTGGATGAATATTTGTTTCATTTACTTTTGGCAATTATAAATAGTGCTGCTATGAGCATTCACATATGAGTCTTTGGCCATAAACTTATCTATTTTTTAATTTTTTTGCATACACTTGAAAAAGAAATGTCTGAGTAGTATAGTGATCTAGATAATATTTTGAGAAACTGCCAAAATGTTTTTCAAAGTGCCTGCACTATTTTACATTCTCACTTACAATATGACAGTTCCATATTCTGTAAATCTTTGTTGACACTTATTATTGTCTATATTATAGCCATTTTATTGGGTGTTAATTATCCTCCTTATGGTTTTCATTTGCATTTCTCTAATAACAATAATGTGCATACTTCCACGTACTTATTGATAATTTGCATATCTTCCTTGTAGACACATGTATTTAAATCCTTTGTCCATTTAAAAAACTTGATTGTCTATTATTGACTTTTAAGAGTTTCATCTTTATTCTGAAATATACCCCTCACAGATAAATAATTAAAAAATTTTTTTACAGTAATTGACTTGTCTTTTTATTTTCTTTATGGCCTCATTTGAAGAACATAAATGTCAAAATGTTATCAAATGCAGTTTATCTTTTTATTTCCTTCTCTAGAATGTGATTTTGGTGTAATTTCTAAGAAATTGTTACCCACCTTATAATTACATATATTTACTCCATTATTGCTCTATAAGTTTTATAATTTTATCTCCTACAAACAATAAGAGATCTATTTTGAATACTTTTCTGAATGGGTCCGATTTGAGTGAGGGGTTCAACTTTATCTTTCTGCAAGTGTATACAATTTTCCCAGAGAAGAAACCATACATATGGTTTCTTCACCATTTGCTGAAAAAGCTGGCTGTACAAAAGACAGTGTTTTGTGGGTGTGGGTGTGTGTGTTTCTGGAAAATAACAGCTAGTCTTTGCCATGCAGTATTTCTGCCTTATGTGAGTTCTCTGATGTCTGCTTAAGTGTGACTTCTGATAAAAGATGTTCTACATTCATTACAATGAGCCTTCCATATCCAGAAGATCCAAATTCCTGGATTCAACAAACTATAGATCAAAAATATTTGAAAAACAGAAAGTATGGCAATACAAAATATACCAAAAAGCTACAAATACTTATATTGTTTTTAATGTATTCAGTAATATAAGTAATCTAGACATGATGTAAAATTGTGCAGCAGAATGATACACAATAGCTCACCACGTCATATAAGACTTGAGCATCCACAGATTTTGGTATCTATGGAAAGTTTTGAAACCAATCCCCTGTGGATATGAATAGACCACTGTACATTCATAGGTTTTCTCTTTTACATGAGTTCTCCAATGCATCCTGAAGTGTGCTCATGACTAGTAAGGTTTGATTTCTGGTAGAAAGATTTTGTACGTTCATTATATTCATATGGTTTCACAACTGTGTGAGTTCTTTAATGTACACTGAGGTCTGCTTTACTGTAGAAAGGTTTCCTATATTCTTTACATTCATCTGGATTCTCACATGTGTAAATTCTCCAATGCTTGCTGAGGTTTGACTTCTGGTGAAAAGGTTTTCCGCATTCATTACATACATAGGGCTTCTCGTCTGTGTGAATCTCTGATGAATGCTGAAGATTGACTTACGTTTGAAGGTTTTTTCACACTCATTGTATTCATAGGGCCTTTTCTATGTGTGACTTTTCTTATGGTTACTGAGATCCAAGTTATGGTAGAAAGATTTTGTACATTCTTTATACTAATATGGTGTCTCACCTGTGTGAGTACTGTGATGTATATTGAAGTCTGATTTACTTCAGAATATTTTTGAACATTCTTTTCATTCATATGGTTTCTTACCTGTGTGAATTCTCTGATGTCTGCTGAGGTTTGACTTCCTGTGAAAGGTTTTCCCACACTGACTACATTCATATTGTTTCTCACCTTGTGAGTTCCCTGATGTACACTGAGGTATGATTTACTGGAGTAAGTTTTTCTACATTCTTTACATTCATATAGTTTCTCACCTGTGTGAATTCTCTGATGCCTGCTGAGACTTGACTTCTCATGAAATGTTTTTCCACATTCACTACATTCATGTGGTTTCTCACCTGTGTGAATTCTCTGATGCTTGCTAAGACTTGACTTCTCATGAAATGTTTTTCCACATTCACTACATTCATGTGGTTTCTCACCTGTGTGAATTCTCTGATGCTTGCTAAGACTTGACTTCTCATGAAATGTTTTTCCACATTCACTACATTCATGTGGTTTCTCACCTGTGTGAATTCTCTGATGCTTGCTAAGACTTGACTTCTCATGAAATGTTTTTCCACATTCACTACATTCATGTGGTTTCTCACCTGTGTGAATTCTCTGATGCTTGCTAAGACTTGACTTCTCATGAAATGTTTTTCCACATTCACTACATTCATGTGGTTTCTCACCTGTGTGAATTCTCTGATGCTTGCTAAGACTTGACTTCTCATGAAATGTTTTTCCACATTCACTACATTCATGTGGTTTCTCACCTGTGTGAATTCTCTGATGCTTGCTAAGACTTGACTTCTCATGAAATGTTTTTCCACATTCACTACATTCATGTGGTTTCTCACCTGTGTGAATTCTCTGATGCTTGCTAAGACTTGACTTCTCATGAAATGTTTTTCCACATTCACTACATTCATGTGGTTTCTCACCTGTTTCCACATTCACTACATACATATGGTTTCTCACTTGTGTGAATTCTCTGATGTACACTGAGGTTTGATTTAGAGTAAAAAGTTTTTCCACATTCTTTACATTCATATGGTTTCTCACCTGTTTGAGTTCTCTGATGTCCATTGAGGTTTGACTTACGGTTGAAAGCTTTCTTAAATTTCTTACATTCATGTGGTTTCTAACCTGTGTGAATTCTCTTATGTACACTGAGGCATGATTTATGGTAGAAAGTTTTTCCACATTCTTTACATTCATATGGTTTCTCACCTGTTTGAGTTCTCTGATGTCCACTGAGGTGTGATTTATGGTAGAAAGTTTTTCTACATTCTTTACATTCATATGGTTTCTCACCTGTGTGAGTTCTCTGATGTACATTGAGGTTTGACTTACGGTTGAAAGCTTTCTTAAATTTCTTACATTCATGTGGTTTCTAACCTGTGTGAATTCTCTTATGTACACTGAGGCATGATTTATGGTAGAAAGTTTTTCCACATTCTTTACATTCATATGGTTTCTCAAATGTGTGAATTCTTTTATGCCTGTTGAGGTTGGACTTCTCATGAAAGGTTTTTCCACATTCACTACATTCATATGGTCTCTCACCTGTCTGAATTCTCTGATGCTTGCTGAGGTTTGAGGACTTGTGAAAGGTTTTCCCACATTCATTACACACATATAGCTTCTCCCCTGTATGTGTTCTCTTATGGATTGTAAGGGGTAATTTCTTCATAAATGATTTATCACATTCACTATATTTATTTTGGCAGTTTCTCAAAATATTATCTAGAATCACCATACTACTCAGACATTTTCACTATATTTATAAGGTTTCTCTTCTGTGTGTATTTTCTGCTGTTCAGTGAGTTCATAATCTCACAATGTCTCCACAATTTCCCATTTATATTACCCTCATCAGATTTCTCTCCAGGATGCACCCAATCAGCCTCTCTAGGAGGAAGTGCATTCCAACACACATTGAACTCTTTGCACCTCATTCCTAAATACATTTCACTATTTGTAATTGAATTTGAAATATGGTTTGAGCTCAAATGAAATGCTTGTTGTATTTCAACTTTCTCCTCAGTTGATGTATTGCTGTTGGTAATTACAACATCCTGCAAATGTGTATCATGACATTCTTGGCTTTTTGTAATTAGAGCTTCAACTATCTGAACATCCAAAATAAGAAAAAAATACCATATCCATAAGCCACACATAAGTATTGCTTAAATGAGCATGTAAAGGTAAAGAAGTTTTTTCACATTTTCATGGCATAGGATTGTACAAAAATGAGTAATGTAAATTGGATTTATAAGTATTCATGTTTCCTACATACTACCATGATGTAATAAATTGTATTAACATATTTTCTACCGTACAGTTTTCTTTCTTTATTTTTCATTCATAAGAAAATATTCGGTAAAACTTTCACCTATGCTTGGTCATAATTTTCAACCAAGTGCTTATCATCTGACATTTGTTTAACCTATTTTATTTCTCTATTTTATTCTTATAACAACAGTGGGAATCACATAGTGCTTTTTTCCCATCTTATTCTGATTTGAGTATGGTAATACTTTATTGGATCAGGTACTTTCAGGTTCAGCAGGAAACCAATTTTCTTTCCTTTAGACAGAAATTTGGATTAGGTACAGAATTTTGCTCCTATTGTTCATTTAGTTTTCATTCTTCCCTACAAAAAGGCTATAGACATCTGGAAATTTTTCAGATAAAACATCTCCTTTCCCACACAGTAGATAAAGATATCTTACTACAAATTTCTCATTTAACATCACTGCCTCTGCTTCTCAAAAAGCTCCATTTTACCACACTGTGCACCCCTTTTCTGCAGGCTTAAGACATTTGGTTGTCAACCCAGGATGTACCCACAATATTTCAATTTCTATTTACCTCTTTCTGACTTTAACTGGCATTCTACCTCCATTTTCTGCTGCACACACCTCTGCTTTATAATTTGCTGCTTCTGAAGGCTTTTATTTTTTGCAATGAAGTTTCAGTTCTGTCCTATTTTCATAAAAAATAAAAAATCTTGTATACATTCCTTGTTCTCTTTGTTGGTTTAGAATAATATTCACAAAGAGAAGTGGAACATGCTAACTTCAAGTTCCAGTACTCCACAAAAAAATCTGAGCTCTTCAATATAAAACTCTTGGTTCATTTGATGTTGGGACCCACAATCTCCTGAATCTCCTTCCAAGTCCAGTAGCTCCTTTCCAGGTGCCTATGCTATGTCCTTAACAGCTTCATACTTTCTGATTCATGGCACACAATGCTCACTTCTGGACCTCTTTGCTCATTTTCTTAACAACACCCTAGGTAACCTCCTCTATAATTATGACTTTAAAAATCAGCTGTAGGGCTGACCCCGTGGCTCACTCAGGTGAGTGAGGCGCTGGGAGCGCTTGCAGCCGTGGGTTCGGATTCTATATAAGGATGGCCAGGGCACTCACTGGCTGAGCGTGGTGCGGGAGACACCAAGCCAATGCTTGCGATCCCCTTATCGGTCACGCACACACAAAAGGAGCTGTAAGCCACCAATTTCCAAATTTGTAGGTCCAATAGTGATGTCCTCTCTAAACTCTCAATTTTATACTTATGCAAGTATGATATGTCAAATCTGAAAAAGAGTTAACTTACGTTACACCAAATTAAACAATAATCTTCCTAAAACTGCCCCATCTGTATATCCTTCTTAAATTTTCACTACCCACTTTTCTGTCTCTCTCACTGTGGTTACATATTCCTAATGATTCTAATACAAATACTTAATGTATATTATTATCTTGTTTCTCACCAGAATGTGAACCCTATGAAAGAGACATTATTTAGATTATTGCTGTTTTAAGTACAACTATATATAAAATAAACAGTGCTTAACACCCACTTAATTATGATGTAGTTAAAAAATATGTGTATAAATAAATGTTTGTGCTATAATTTAAATGTTCCCCCAAACTCATATTGAAGCTTGATCATCATATTAACAGTATGAAGAGTGTGGAAAATCTAATTATGGTATTTGAACTGTAAGGCTTTGAGGAAGTTATTAGATAGTGAAGGCCATGCCTTTATGAATGGATTGATCTGTTCATGAAATAGTGAGTTAATGGGTTATTGGGGGTAGATTGGTGGCTTTAAACAGCATGTGGACACACTTTTGCCACTCTCACCTTGTGATACACTGCACCAACTGTGGACTCTGCTGAGAGTCTCCACAAATGAGAAGACCCCCACTAGACGTGACACCTCAACCTTGGAATTGTCTGCCTCCATAAATATAAAAAATAAATTTTGTTTCCTTACAAATTACCTATTTTCAGATATTCAGTTGCAAGCAGAAAAACATGGACTAAAACATCCTGGAAGAAGATGTACATGATAATGGACAAAAAGAGAGCTACCAAGAATACTGATAAAGTTCACAGTAAATAAAAGGGTCTAAAACAAGAACGGTAGAGATTAGATTTGGGGAAGTATATGAACTACTCATTAAAATAAAATGTGGATCTATAAGTGTTAGAGACCTCTTTGGAGATTATATAATGCATGAGTTTCTAAGTAGGCCTGCAGTTCTCTGGTCGGAAATCTAGCAAATATATTGGTAAAAACAGCTGAACATGACCAAAATCTGCTGGATCTTACTCTTTCCAGCCTCAGTGCCCAGGACATACTGTGAACTTTATCAGTATTCTTGGTAGCTCTCTTTTTGTCCATTATCATGTACATCTTCTTCCAGGATGTTTTAGTCCATGTTTTTCTGCTTGTAACTGAATATCTGAAAATAGGTAATTTGTAAGGAAACAAAATTTATTTTTTATAGTTATGGAGGCAGACAATTCCAAGGTTGAGGTGTCACATCTAGTGGGGGTC